GAAATTATGTGTACTTAGATTTTTGTTTCTTATGATGCAAATTTTTAAACTCACCCAAATTCCTGCATATCGATCAAACTGAGAAAAATAATTTCGAAGACATTTTATTAAATGTGGAAAATCAGAAATAAACCACAAGCGTCTTTCTACATCTACAATATGTTGTATACTAACACATTCTTCTTTTACTCCAAATATATTCCACATAGATCGATTCCATGATGCTCCATCTGACACTACAGCGTCTACTTTTAGTCCACATTGTTCTGTTAAAATAATACACTCCATAATAATTTTATGCAAAATTGATGCACTTGCGCTGCCAACACTTAAGAAGCAAGCTAAAGATTGAACCCATGTTCCTTTAAAAGGCTGAAACATAAGAACCAATGCATGGTCCCCCTTTTTTTTCTTTTGTTCTTCTGGAGTATATTTATCTAAATTAACAAAGCCTTCAACTTTTAGATTTGTTCTATTAAAATATAAAGTTTTTGATAATTTCATTTCATCCAACAACAAAACACCTAAAAAAATTTTTTTGGCTATTAAAATATATAATATCTATCGATATACGATTTATGTTTTATGTTTGTATTACGTAAAAATTGCATTGCATATTAATAAAATTGATTTTTGTAAATCAAATATTGTATGTATACCTCGCACATCATTAGGTTCCATGTTTGCCGTTTTCTTTTTCAATATTTCAAATGTGCTCGATTGAAAACCATAACAACCTTTGACAATTTTAATATAACGATTTAGTGTTTTATTTGAAGGTAATGTTAGAATATTATGAGATCTTAAATGATTGTAGGTTTTTGCACTTTTAATCCGAAGTAAAATGCATTCATATACCCATTCATTCGAATATCTCATGCCTCTGTTATCTTTTAACTTTGCTGCTGCAAAACAAGCTTGTACTGCCAATTGTTGATTTTGTGGTAATTTGGAAATAGTTTCTTCGATTATTTTTTCATTACATTGAGTGCACTTATGTTTCAAATATTTTATTTTGTTATATAATTTTATAATCTATATACAAATATGTTAAGTTAAAAAATAAATTCCAATAAAAAATGTAATTTGTATGTTATAAAAAATATATAAATATTTAATATACTTTGTTTCGAAGCCTCTTTTCTCGACGTTTGTGATTTAAATTTGACACTTGTAATTTTTTGCTTTTATTTCTTAATTTTTGCATTGGTGTTAAATTATGCGCTTTTCTTAATAATATTTTCCAATTTCTCTTACAAGCCAAACATCTCATGTTCTCTCCTCTATATTGCTCTTTAATTACAAAACCATGACAATTTGTAACCCTGTAAAATTGGTTAGTGCATTTTATTTAAAGTGTGTTTTTCATTTTATTTTTATTTGTATAGTGCACAGTATATTATAATACAGCTTATATTACATATAATATAAGCTATATTATAATACACAATTTTATTAAATAAAAACTTTCTAAAAAATAAAAGTAAATATTTTTATTAATATAAAAGACTAAAATAATATTTTTGTTATTACTTTAGTATTATTTATGTAAAACATAAAAATATAATTTGATGCACAAACCTGTTTTCATTATTAACTTTTTGGCAAGGAAAAAAATTTTCTAATTTCTTCAAAATTTGTTCAATTTCTTGTATGTTATGAATTATTTTTGTGTCAAAAGAAATTTCTTTATCTCCAATAAATACCTATTTATATATCAACATTTTAATAAATTATTGGTATAAATGTACATATATATTAAATAATATTGTTTTATTGAATTATATTTACTTGAACTTTCATATTTGCTTTAATAATAACACGTCTTAAAATATTATGCAAATCTCTTGTCCAGCATGTCCACATCATACAGCTATTGTTAATATTTGTAAACCAATAAACTGTTGGGACTTTAATATTTTTAGCAATATTGATATCTTCAATAGAAAATTCAATTGTTTCTTTTCTTGACATAAAAGATACATCTTCTTGCAAAGGTTTATTGATTTGCAATACTTTATTTATCACACATGATGTAGATGGAATTGATTTTTCTGTTGAAACTGTTTCCAAAGTTTCATATTCAACTGAAAACTTGTCAGAAGACATAACATCATTGTCACTTTTATGTTCTATCTTCGTCCTCGCGTAAAAATAATAAACTTGTGAAGTCCAGGCTTGTAATTTTCAATAGATATAGTGAATTTTCAATAGATATAGAAGATGCGTACACAATATTTTAGATTTATTAGGTTATATTTTGGAGAAAATTGTTGTTACAAAATGAAAAAGTTTATTAAAATGTTACGTTCAGAAATCAAATTGAGGTCAAGAATCCGATTTATTAAGGGTTGTATTAGAGAATGTATTGTTCCACCACATCTTGAATCAGCACTTCTTGATATACATTTTTGTGAGAAGACTAACTTCAGAAATGATAAACATAAAAAGACAGTCACACGGTCTAAACAAACAAAGTGACACTGAGTTGCTTCCTGAGTCTTATATTCCTATTCTCAACTTATTGCCTTCTCTATAATGTTAGAAAAATAATATTTTTCGCCTTATTGGCTGGGATTGTGGTTGCCCCTTCTCCTTAGATTCCCTCTCCTTTTTTTCCTATAGTATTACATGCCTTCGGGTCTTCAATTTTATAATGTAACACAGTGATGCGATCTTTCCCACAGCGGAGCCGGGACCGCTGTGGGAAAGATCGCATCACTGATGTAACATTGGGCTTGTTCGTTTTAGCTACACTGGGGCTGCTCTGGTTCTGCTTTACACAGGATAATACAGGACAGATAAATAGTTTGTCCTGTATTATCTTGTTTAGAGCAGACCCAGAGCTGCCCCAGTGCAGCTAAAACGAACAAGCCCATTAACTCACAGTTGAGAACATGGTGACTTCAGATTAACACCGTAACTGCAATTTCTCACAATCACATAAGTAATCACCAGTATAGACCTCAATGGTGAATTAAATCAACATAGTTTTAAGTACAGATATGCGACATAATATTAATTATTTATTAAAATAATTTTAAGCAAATTAATATCTTGACCTCAATTTTACATATAAAATCACTAAGATGTATAAACATATAGATTAAAAGGAACACTGAAGATGGCTGAATGATCAGCCGAAACATTTGTTCTAACATTGGTGTAATAAAGAATATTTATCAAGAAATACGATCTACTTGGGCTTGAGATCCTCCTACCACTATATCTATTGAAAATTACAAGCCTGGACTTCAAGTTTATTAAATAAAAAATATTTAAAAATAAAATAGTTAATCAAAAATAAAAAATAATAAGAAAATCTAATCAAAATAAAAAAATATTTATTAAAAAACGCAAAAAGTTTTAGTTTTAAGTTTATGTACGGGTTTAGGTTTATGATCAGTACTTAACGTAACGTAACTCATTACGGAGAAGCTTGTGCGGTGGTTCTTACATTGAAGGATAGTCGTGTTCTTTTTCTCTCTCTCTTTCTCTCTCTCTCTCTCTCTCTCTCTTTCTCTCTCGCACACCACAAAGAGTAGGGAAAAGGCGTTTGGCGGGCGATGAGAGAAAGTGACCGACTAAAAATGTAAAACTGTTTTATCTCATCTCATAAGTATAAATTGCTACGTTTTCTCACCAACTAACCTGTTAGAACGAAACACAACAACTACGCTATTGCTCTCTCTTTTTAATATCGGTGTTAGCTTCTCTCACAAAATGCGCAGTTTATTTCTATAAAACTGTGCACCTCATTGAGTAAAAAGAAACAGGAGGGAGCGTTTGGTCTTAAAAGTGCGGACGGAAGTGACTATGGGTGCGTTCCACTTAACGCCCGCAACGCTCCTAGGATCATTTTATCCTTGTTTTTCATTGAAAGTTAAACGAGGATAAAATGATTCTAGGAGCGTTGCGGGCGTTAAGTGGAACGCACCCTATATAAAGTGGTCGCTCAAGATGGCCGCTCAAGGGCGCCAATATTGAATGACTTGTTATGTTTAATTAGGAAATAATGTACAATTAAAAGAAAATAACTATAATATGCAACAATAATACCAAATTTTAATGGCGTTTTTCATTGAGATTGCACTCGTGCAGTATTTCCATAAGAGCAATGTTAAAATCTAAAATCTAAATTTATATTAAACCCTTCGTCCTTACAAACATTTATCCATGCATTTCTTTGATCCGGATTTTTCGGAAACCTGTTTGTGAGTGAAAATTATTTAGTAATTATTGTGAATCTACAATTTCACAATACTATACATATGATTATAATCTCCAAAATAAAAATCTCATTATTGTTGATAATACTAACCGATGAAACGTTATTCCATGATTTCGAGCTGCTGCTGTTATGCCACAAGCTCTAGGCATCAATCATGTAATTTTTTCCTAGAAGCGAAAACGTGAAAAATGAAAACTTTTATGTGAATTCGATAATTCTATTCGTCGAATTCACGTGAAATTTTCACTTTTCACGTTTCCGCTCCTAGGGAAAAATTACATGATCGATGCCCTACAGTATACCATTTTGATTGTTTATTTCCATACACTGTTGCATAAAAGACTATACACTGCATATTAATGCGTACGGCGTACGGTATGCCGCTTGCCGCAATGCTCGAGCATTCCCTCTCACTTTCAAAAAGTGGTCGCTCAAGATGGCTGCCATGACGTACATCCGTCCGCGGATTTACCTAGGCTGCGTACGGGGAGCGCGTTATTAGCGCTATTTGCATCTTTTATCTTTGTTTTATGTCTAATGAGCGATAAAGATAGAAGACGCAAATAGCGCTAATAGCGCGCTCCCCGAACGCAGCCCTAGTCCTGGCTAGTATATGCTCCCTCCTGTTTCTTTTTACTCAATGGTGCACCTCGACAATGAACAGCACCATCTGACGTCACTTCTATTGACAAGAACGCTTCAGTGTACACTTCTTGCACTAATACAGAAAGTGCAGTGACAAAGAACAAACCTATATTATCTCATCAGTAGTCGTGTTGTAAGCGTTTGTGATTTTCTCAGCTTTACGGTGCGCAGCGTGCGCAGTTAAATATTTGAAAGAAGAGATTAGCAAAGATGAAGAAGCTTTCTTTACAAAAGCACTAACGTATGAGATTCAGGCAGTAAAAAACAAAGTTTAAACTTGGCAACGAAAGGTATATCATATCAAGTATTACATACATGATTTTTATAACCTAAAGATGTTTCCTAAATGAATAATAATCGCATTTCTGGTCTTATGTCATTTTTCATTCACGATTTAATTTGGTCAGAATGTCAAGATTTAATTAATTATCAACAATTGTGCTTTACAAAAAGATTGAATTGTCGCAATTTGCTTCTATTTTTTTACAAGTTTGCAAATTTTTTTCATAAATATAGTAAGGTTTTATTTCCACTTTGCATTTTGTTTAATATAGTTTAAGATCCATATAACATTATATTAATCTTTCCATGAATTTAAGAAAAACAATGACAGTTTTAAATTTTTCTGTGAATAAAGGTTTTTAGACGAGTAATATGATTACTTTAAGAGGAAAATTAAAGAAGGATAGTGATATAGCAAATTCAAAAAATAGAGACCACAATAAGCGAGTTTCGATACGTGATAAATTACTCATCAAAGAGGTATATAAATTAATAAATATTCTTTATATATTATAGTAGTATTACTAAAATTTTTGCAACTCATGGTTGATATACATTGTTTTCTTCAGGTGCAAGAAATGGAACAGACGCTGCCAGTAACTTGTCAAGTCAGATTCAAAGATCCACATCGACTTCACGATTTTATATTGTTAATTATACCAGATGAAGGATATTGGGATGGTGGCCATTTCTATTTTCAGATTTACATAACTGACGAATACAATATGGCGGTAATTTTATGATATAGTATTGCAAAATGAATGATAATCAAATATAGGAAATTATATATTTATATATACTAAACTGTATTTTCAGCCACCAGTAGTAAAGTGCTTAACAAAATTATGGCATCCTAATATAAGTGAGGATGGTGATGTATGTCTTTCCATTTTAAGACAAAGTAGTATTGATGGAATGGGTTGGGCGCCAACACGGAAATTGAAAGATGTTGTATGGGGTTTAAATTCCCTTTTCACTGTATGTATATTTAATATTTTTTCAATACATCCAACTTGGATTAGTAATCTATTGAATACATTTTATATGTCCATATTTCTTTTTTTTATTCAGGATCTCCTAAACTTTGATGATCCTTTGAACAGAGATGCCGCAGATTTGTTTATAAACGATAAAGAATCTTTTCGAACTAAAGTCAAAGATTATGTAATGCAATATGCAAAAAGATGATTTACATTGTAACATTTTAATATAATTATTGATCTGTATCAAATTGGTTTTATGCCTCTTTTTAGCGAATGAGTAAAAAGTTTGCTCAAATAAGCTTCAGGCTGATATGATTTAATTAAATTGCTGATATTTTGCTAGTCTTTTTGCTGCTTAGAGAAAGATTATTATTATGAGTTTTATACAGGGTGCTTTGTAATTCGTGAATCCGGATATTATAGCATAAAAGTTCTCACAAAAAACAAAATGAAAAAATCCTTTCTATTTTTTAACTCGAGCAACAGTTTTGAAATATAAGTGTTTAAAATTGACCAATCAAGCTTTATAATTTAAGCAGTATCCGTAAATTACTAATGCTGTTATACGTGCAACTCGGGGAACAAATGACTGTTTAACTATACAGTTTGATTGGACAATTTTAAATTCTTATTTTTCAAAAATACAAGATTACTTGGATTGAAAAATCGTAAAAAATTTTCGTTTTTTAAAAACTTTAATGCCATAGTATCCTAATTCGCGAATTACGGGACGCCCTGTATAATTAAATTTTGGGATTGTTTAGCGGAATTGAGAACCAATAATTAATATATATTTTAATGTACGAAAAAGAATTAAAAATGCGTCACGTGTTCATGCCTTTCTTTTTTAAATCTTTATAAGATACTGTAATGCTTATGAAATATTTGTAAATAAAATAAATGTTTAATAATATATTTTGTTGTAATTTATATATTTCTTGCAAGAACATAAGAAAGTTGTCACTTTTACATATAATTATCGAATAAATAATTCAAGAAAATTAGAATATAGGAATAGAGAAATATAAGATAATGTGCAAGAAGTTTTTTCAAATATTTATTTATAACATTCGAATATAACGCGTAATCGACATTTTTTGCTAAATTTCAAAAAATTCGAGTTGTGTTTTGTTTTTGTTTTATTTAAATGTGTAGACCATGTTTATTATACTTGAGTTAACAGACGGCTTAATAATGTTACTTGATCACCGACGAAATTACGTTGATAAAACGTCGGCAATCGGACGACAACGATCTTTGTTATAATTACAAGTTGTAACAAATAAATAATAACAAAAAAGAAAACAAGAAGAGACGACTGCTCCTTATATATTTCTCGCTTTTTTTATCATACTTGTTTGCTCTCCGGAGACTGGCTAGCACGTACATTTGCATGTGTGTATGTGCGCGCGCGCGTGTGTATGTGTGTGTGTGTATATGTATGTAAATATATATAAAAGATCGCAACACAATTGTTAGATCGTAGTCCGCAGCTCTTCCTGTATACTAGTCGATCTAATGAGCCTTTGTTTGGAGCCTAACAAACTCTCGCTTGCTAGGATGTCGCTTTCGGAAGATAGTTTTGACTTTTCTTCATGATATTTTTCATTATACTCTTTCAGTCTGTTGCCCAGGAACAGAGCTCTCTCGCGTTTCTTGATCATATAATCGGTTGGCAATAACCACCTATGGTCGTGGCACTCCTCCGCTATTGGTCTTTTACTAAGGAAGAAAAATTAAAATAAATTTTTTTGTAATATGGGAGAGTTGTTCACATATTGTATATTTAATATTATATCTATATTATTCAATTCTAATCGACTGTTTTTAATATTTAAAAAATTTAAATTACTGATGTTAGAAAAAATATTTGACACCGAGAGAGATCTTTAATAGATCTAAATTCGATAGTACAAATAAAAAATGGCCAGTGTTAAATACCTAAACAATCAAATCTAACAGGATTTTTGCAATTTGTGCGTTACATACTATGTCAGTAGATTGCTATCAATATTCTAGTAGGATATGTTGTTTCAGCTAATGTCGATAGAAATGCAGCAAAAATCGAGCTCAACGTGCGTCGAACGGCAGAAATGTGGCAAAAATTGAGCAGAGCTCATTAACATAAATAGAGCAAATTTCAAATATTGTATGCTGACACAATGTGTCGGCAGAATGCACATCGAAATTACACATAGCTTGCAATCACGGTGTAATAGCAGTTGCCATCAATTGCAGAAATAAAATTTTTCTGCAAACACGCTATGATAGCAGAAACACAGCAGAAATGTAGTTTACTTTGTCGTCACATTATCATCGTCATCGCAATTGTTAGTGTGAAAGAAATACATTTCTTAATATATTGATTTTAAAATATAAATAGTCTAGTGTAGGGCTCGGAATTATTTCATCTTTTTGGCCGATTCTCGATAAATGTTGAGTTCTTCTTCCTTGATCATTAAAAGTTAAAAATATTTATATATTATTATTATTATTATTATTATATTATA